TGTGTTGTGGTCTTTGCACTGCCTATTCTGCTATACTTGCCTGACAAGTGCGTTCGACCCAGGGGTCTGCGGTCTGGGAATAGTCTTGGGGGTAAGTGAGTGATGTGGGGTCAATAGTCCGAGCGCGGGAAACAATGTCCAAAGGTATAATTACGATGTCCGACGCAAAAGCGTCGGGTCCGATGTTTTCGGGGTTTCGGGATATCGGGTTCGGGTTCGGGATGTTGGAAACTAATAGTAACGCTATAGCGAGCGTCGGAAGAGCGAGCGGTGTGCGCGATAATAACAATGACTGATATGGATAATGAAAGAGCGATGATATTCGCAATATCAACTAAGAACTACGAAATATCGGGTTTGACCACTAAGCGTCGGGGAACTGCTCCCCTCTACTTGGATAATGAATAATGCTCGAGGTCAGTCCAATATATATGTAAGTACGTAGAAATGCGGAACCCATAGGCGAAAGTAGCGGCGGAGTATTTCGGATCCGAAGTACATGTAAATAAACATGAGGCGCTGCGGACTATGGGAAAACATGTAATAGCGCTGGCTACAACGTGAGTAATGTGCGAAATAATGAACTACACACCTAGTGGGGCTAGCAAGACAGGACGGGACACGGATAGGACAAGTGCGCGGGAAAACATCGGGTCCGATGCGGCCTAAACGTCGGTTTGGCGGGTTAGCGTCGGATAACATCGGGAAGTGATTAGCATGTGACAGGTATTTGGCGTGTACTGTGAAATAGCTCGATACGAGCCCAGCGCCAGCTCGTGTCCTACATCTCCTACGAACTTTGAATACTGACTGTCCCCAGTCAGCGGTATGCGGGAAGTCTTCACCAAATTTGCGAGTTTCTAAGTCACGTGACCAGCGGGAAATGCGGCCGAGACTTTCTCGCGATTTCTGCATATAAACCTGAGCCCTTGACAACTGCGCTTCTCTTCTTTCATTCTTTTCCCCTTCATCTAATCTCACTATGGCGTTCCCCTTTGACACTGCACAAGTCTTATCTCCTGAGGCTGAGTCTCTCCAGCGCGGATTTTCGGAACTTCGGCAAAAGATGGAGGCCGAATCGAAGTGCGTACCAGATGATAGGCCGGATCTCATGGTGGAAAAGGAAGAATGGTGCAGGAGGTGGAACAAGATTTCGGTGCGTCGCATTTGCTGTGATTTTCGGGTTTTCCGTGCTAATATCCGAAAGTCCGATATCGGAATCTTTATAGCGGCCGGAAAGGATAAGGGTGTCGCACTTGCGTTGACTGCGGAGGATGTTGCGAGGGGTAAGGAATTGGTGGGGATTCATGATCGCTTCGTGGAACAGCTGCATGCGCTCAAGGAAATGGCCGCGCGTCAGGCCGAAATTTCCGAACCTCAAGGCGCACCTGCGGATGTCTCGATGGAAGGTGAGGGCGATGAAGAAGAAGATGCGGACGGCGAATCCGAAGTTCCGATTAAGCGGCCGACTCGGGTGCGCAAGGCAAAGCATCCTGCGCCGAAGGTAAGTCCGAAATTTTTGCGTTTGTCTTACGCTAGATATTTCGCAAGGATGATGATTCTGATGATGGAATGATCCTTCACGACCCTCCCTGCGACCGCTGCGCTAAGCGTGACACCGAATGCTTCGGACCCGAAAAACGCGGGTGTACAGAGTGCCGGAACTCTAAACAGGCATGTTCCTATTCTCGTATTGGTGAGTTTTCCTCTTTTTCGCATTTTTCGGCGTTTTGACTCCTGTATTTAGCGCGCGCCAAGGGCAAAGCGTCTGCGCGTCGGCCGATGGCGGCTTCCAAGGTTCGGGTCGGGTCTTCGCTCGGATCCGAACCTCCTATTACGATTTCCGATGGTGAAGATATGGCATCCGCCTCGCGTATTTCGAAGACAAAGCCGGTGGTGCTGATTCAGGGTAGGAAAAGGAAGTTGGCGGATGTAGAGGAAGAGGATTTCGCACTTGCGGATTCGGGTTTGAGCGGAGAGGACCTGATTTTGGCGGGTAAGCTTCGGGGTGTCTATGCGAAGTTTCGCACTATCCAGGGGCTGATGTCCGAAGTTGCGAATGAGTTGGACATGATGCGGGCGCATGTCACCAAAAAGGCGCGTTTCTGAATACTGTCTCTTTCAATTTCTTTCTGCTTCTGTACTACCAATTAGCGTTTCTCCTAGCTGTACAATGTATTCCGCGTGTTTTCCGAATGTCAAAGCGTGATGTCCAATGAATTCTTCTAATGTCCGAAATGTCAAAGCGTCGGGTCCGATGCGATGTCCGAAGTTTCCATGTATGTCCTGTGTCCCTTGTGTCCGTGTCTCGTGTCTTGATGCTAGGTCATCCCCTACTAGGGTGTCTAATAAAAAACAATGAAAAAAATAATCATAAGTGCCAGATGAATTTTCGGATAACGTAGTCAAGATGATACTATGGACGCAGATTACCATCTGACTTGACTTCTTCGTGCAACTTTTGACTGTCTTTCTTCGGGTTTTTCGGGTTTTCGGGTTTTTCTACGTATATATAAGGGTGCGCGCGCGATGCGCAGTTCGAAGATGAAATGCTATATAAATAGGGGTTATTAACGCGCGTTCGGATTCGAATGTCTGTGTACTATTAGTTTCTTCTGTAGGTGCGGATGTATGAGGATAGTGGTTTTTCGGGTTATTGAGATATGAAACACCGGCCTAATCCCGGGGTGAAACGTGCAAGCTATGAACATATGTGCGCGTTTTCGGGTATCGCGTTACCCGAAATTTCGGGGTTTCGAACTATAGCTTTTTCCTAAGGTAAAGACGTCGTTGGCTTTCATACTGGTAAAACGCGATCTGGGAGTGCGATGGACGAGGGTATTGAAAGCGTCGGTAGACCGGATGATGGAATCGGATATTTCGGATCCGATGCGACAGGTGACGATAGGGCGAAACTATGCAGGGAAACTGCGGGTAAACGGGGCATATCTTCGGGATGATGGGGAAATGTGTTTCGGGTGTTTCGGGCTTTGACGTGCGGATTTTCGGGTGTGACAATTCAAAATGATACCTAGACCTAGTGACATAACCGGTGAGAATTAAAGCGACGGCTACTGCGTGAACGAAATGATCAGTGCGATCTGGAGAAGGTAAAACGAGTTCGTGATCTAAACTCCTGGTACAAATATCCCATATTTCTGGGAATTCGTCGGCCGATGTTTCAGGTATCTCGGGTACGTTGTCTTCTAGCGACGTTAGCTCTGAATCTAAGACTTCTGATGTTAGTACGTCTGCATCAATGACTTCTACGAATACATCCAATTGTTCCGATGGTAACTGAACTTGTCCGAAGGTCAAGTCCGAAATTTCGGAACTTCGGACTCCCTCTGGGGCGTCGGATGTTGTGATAGGGTCTTCGGGTGCGGAGATTTCTATTTCTGAAGTTAGGCGTTCTTGTGCGGGTGTGTATTCGTCACTTAGGTGAAGTGTCCACCATTCATAATCATCGGATTCCTCGGGTTCGGGTATTTCGGGCTGCGGATCGGGTCGGGTATACTCGTGTATGCCTCCTTCTGGGTAGGACGACAGAATTTCGTTAGTAAAATCTAACCAAGATGTACCTCGGGCCTCAGGGCATCCTGCCCATAGTTCTTTGTGGTCGCATTGGATATATCTGAGAGTATACTTGATGAGCTCAGTGTCCGATAAATTGCACTTTTGTCCGAGTTGGTCTACAGATTGCAAAAATGCGAAAACTCCGTAAACATCGCCGGTGAATCTTGGGGCTGATTGTTCTGTCCTGAATGGCATGCCAAATCTGTCGGGCATGATGGGAAAAACTGCGGGTACGTCGGAAATATCGTCGGGCCGTCGGGTCCGAAGTACGGGTTCGTCGGGAAATCCTAAAATCAAAATCACTTAATCAAAACTAAACCAGATGGACCCCTCGCGGTGGGCTCCAGTTGAAGAAACAACAATTCAGAGAGTGAGTCTGAACAATGTTGGGTCTTGCAGAACCTAGCTGCTATTCGACCCTAAAGGGTTTCTGGACCAGGCTCAAGACTCAGAGGAGAGGAAATATCATGAAAACTTGCTGAGTACTCTGACTCCTACTGGTAACTGGTGAAAAGATAACTTCCTTATGTAAGCTACAAAAGTGCCAACATAAGGTAAGGTAAAAACAGTCTCTACAAGCCCAGCCAGAAATGAATCCCTACAGCGAGTTGCCAAATCGAGGTTAAGCGAGCTAAGCGCAAACCACATGGCCTTTGGCGAAATAGGCGAAAGCCACGCGAGCGCCCGAACGTTCCCGCAACCATCGCACTTTACTTCTTTTTTTTTTTTTTTTTTTTTAATCAATGTTATTGTCCTTTGGGGTCAAAGACCCTATGTCGGACATAGCCCTATTCGCAGGGGGCTTGCTCCCGCTTAAACTAATTGTATGGTAGTGGGTATGTGTGCTAGCGTGTTATCAATGGAAAACAAGTATTCCGCCAGCTTGATGTCGGGCAAAGGCCGACGCTGGGTTCGTACGGGAGGAATGATGTGGTGGAAAAGCTTCGTTGGCGGGCCCTTCGTTTCCTACATTGTGGTCTCGGCCGGCGAGACATCTTCCTTCCAGGCTCGGATATGAATAGTTTGGATTATTATTATTATTATGGTGTGCGTTGTTACTGTAGGATTATGTGAATTGGAGAAGGTTCTTATCTTTTCGAGATCTCACCGAACGTATGTTTGAATCTGCCTGTTCTGTTGATATATTGCATTAGTGGTTTGGTGGCTGCTTCAGAAGTGAGGATGTGAGAGATGGACGTGGCTTGGCATCTGAGGGTGTTGGCGAATTGATGGCGTTCTTGTGCGTACTGAGGGCAGTCGAAGAGATAATGATGAACTGTTTCGTCTACGTTGGGACAAGCTGGGCAATGCGGTGAGTCACTTTTTGATATGCGGTGCAGGTGGAGGTTGAGGGGGAGGTGACGGGTGCGGAGCTGGGTGTAGATGCTGGCTTTCTGCTTGGAGAGGGGGGCGATGAGTTTAATGAATTTGTTGGATGGCATGGTGGGATCAATGATTTTCGCTCTCGCATAGCGGGGTGATTTCTTCCAGGATTCGGTCCAGCGTTTGCTCAACGCGTCGTTGTGCCATTGTTTTAGCGCTGATACGCTATCGGGGAGAGGTTTGTCCTTGAGGTAGGTGGGTAGGTGTCGTCTTGTACTGTTCCGGTGGGCTCCTTCCGCCGCCTCTTTCGCGGCCTTGTCAGCTAGCTCATTTCCATTTATTCCCTTGTGGCCGGGGATCCATCGTACCGTCAGTTTGAAGTCGCGTTCTTGTTCTGCTCTGCGCTTGGCTATGAATCTGGTCATGCTACGAAAGTTTTCTATTAAGTATCCGCCCGGTTTCGTTCTATGGCTCTCACCGGATTTGATGGCTGCTTGGTTGTCTATGAAGATGGTTGCGGGGTAAACTACATTCGGTTCGGTTGCTAGGAGTTTGGCTGCTAGTGTTAGTCCTACTACTTCAGCTTCATATACAGTGTGAGTTTTGTCCGGGCCGAGATGATACTTAAGCGTTCTGGGATCCTTGCCTTCTCGCATGAGCACTGCCGCTGCACCTATTCCACCTCTGTGCCCTGAGCCGTCAGTAAAGATCTGAATTTCGTCCTTAAGTTCCTTTTGCTTTTTGATAGCTAAGTCTTTCTTTGGTGCGATATGGGTGTCATAGGCATTTGGCATCGTGGCATTCGATCTTCGGATTGGGTCCAGTGTTTCAATGTCCTCTGGGAATGCTTTGAATGTGGCGATTAGATTGTGTAGAGATGAGCGATGACGTTTGACGTTATGGTGCTTGACAATGTGCTTCAGATGTTTGTGAAGGGGGTGGCGGGTGGGGAGCGTGGCTAGGCAGAGTGCTGCGCGATGGCATACTTTCTGAAAGAGTAGACCTATTGGGAGAAGGTTAGCGTGTGCATCGAGCGTGTCAGTAGCAGTGGATCTCATAGCGCCTGTGATACTCAGCGTCGCAATCCTTTGAACCTTTGCCAGTCTTTCAACTACTCCCTTGGATCCTCTTTGCTCCCTATTGGATTCCTCGGTATAGATGGGTCTGAACCAGATGTCCGCACCGTAGGTGAATTTTGGAATGGCGACTGTTACGTATAGCTGTCTCATAAGTTTCGCTGAGACTCCGTTGGAGACTCGTGATAGACGGCGGAGTTGGAGGACGTATTCAGTACCTTTAGCGATAGCGTGGCCTACGTGGTGTTTCCATGTTAGTTCTTGATCTACTAGGAGGCCTAGGAATCGATGGTGCTCAGTGGGGGTTATGGTGGTGTCTTGTAGGATCAGAGGAGGGCGGTCTCGTGTTTTGCTGCGCGTGAAGTCTATGAGGGTGAATTTGTTGACTTCGAACTTTGAGTTGTGATCTTTCGACCATTGGAGGGCGCCGTTGGGTCTTTCCATCATGCTCTTGAGGGTGCTGTGAGTATCTTCAAACGAGGGACCTATTGCAATGTATGCCGTGTCGTCTACGAAGGCTAGGGCAGTTTCTCCATCGCTCGGGTTAGCTATATCAATTAAGTCAGTGTTGTATATTAAATAGGCTATCATAGATAATGGGTCTCCTTGACCAATTCCGTTTCTTATGTTGATCCATTCGGAGGTCGCATCATTGAATTTGAGCTGAGTGCGTCGGCCTGTGAGCATTCTTTCCGTGAAATCGATTAGTTCTGGTGGTAGCTTGCATTTGCGCATATTGTGGGTCAGTCTTGCTGTGACTGCATTCGGGAATGCGCCTTCTATGTCGAGGAATAGAATTGAGGCTACTTTACCTGTGCGCCAGGCGTTTTTGATCGTCGTTTCTAGGAGATGCAAGGAGTCAGTGGTTGTTCTTCCAGGTCAGCCTCCGAAGTGCGTATTCGGGATTAGATTGTGTCGTTCTAGGATGTAGGATACTTGTTCAGCGACAATGGCAGTCAGTAGTTTGCAGGTTGTGTTGATGAGGGCGATTGGTCTGTAGGCTTTGGGGATTGAGTAATCGGCCTTTCCTGGTTTACGTAGGACCACCGTTGTGAATTCTCTCCATGGGTCATAGTACGTTTTGAGGGTGAATACTGCGTTGAATAGATGATAGAGGTAGGGGATGAGGGCTGATGATGCACGTTTGAAGACTACATTACAGATGCCATCAGGACCGGGGGCTTTGTAGGAGCTGGTGTTGGTAATGGCGCGTTCGATTTGTTCTCTTGAGATTGGTGTGAATGGCGTGATTGGTTCAGGGTAGTCGTAGTCTTCGGGGATTGAGCTAGCTGGGGGAGGGGGGGGAAAGAAAGTGTTAGCGAGTGCGTTGCTTTTTTCAGCGTTAGTGATGGCTTCTATGGGCAGGCCGTTAGCGTCTTTAGTTTTAAGGGCAGGTATACTTGTTCTGCCACCGTCACCCATTGGTGAGGATATGTATCTGTTCGCGGTGTAGATGCTTTGTTGGTCTAGCTCCTCCAAGAATTCGATCCAGTGTTCTTGTTTGGTCTTGCAGATGGTCTCAGTGAGCTTGTTGCGGTGTACACGGTGTTCCTCATGTATGGGGTGATTCGGCAGTCCTCTTAACTTATATGATAGACCACTTAGCTTATTTTTCTCTTTCATCATCATCGACAGCTCCTTCGTCCACCACCTTTTCGCGTGAGGGCTTGGTTTCGTTTTCGGCACTTTTTCTTCTATTGCGCATTTCAGGGCTTTGTTGAGGTTGGATGCGGCTAGCTGAAATTGGAGCTCGGAGGTGATGGTTTTGGGAGCTGGGATGTCACGGAGGTGATATGATAGGCAACTGTTAAATTCTTTCCATTCGACATCGCGGTAGTTGTAGGTTGCTGTGGTCGAGGTGTGGGGTATGTTGAGGTCTAGAGTACATAGTATGGGGACATGGTCAGTACATGGGGGGCGTCTTCTCGGCGCCGTGTCACATAGGGTAAACGTATCAAGAGTATGTGCTGTACAGAATATATTGTCTGGTCTTGTCCAGTTGCTGCTGCTGGTGGATTGTAGTGTAGGTTTGTCGCGTGGGAGGGCCATTCTCATGTTGTGATCTGCGAGTAGCTCGATGATGCGCTGGGCTGCTTCCTGGGCTTCTGGTGGTGTGCAGAGGTGGGCGTTACGGGTTTCTTCCCAGAGGGGGTGGTGTGCGTTGAAGTCTCCCATGAGGATGATATGGTCGTTGGGGGTAGGGCGAATTGTTCGTATCTCTCGGTCTAGGTAGGTCGCAAGTAGTGGGAGGACTTCTCATTTCTTGCTGTCGTCATAGATGTTGAATATGGTGATTTTGCCAAACGGACCGTTGAGTTGGATAACTACCACGTCTGCTGAGGGAAATTGGAGCTGGCGCCAGTTGTTTGTGTTAAGTCGCTTGTTGATGAGTGTGATGGCGCGCAAGCGGCTTTTGTGAGTATATCGGTGTGTAGGGTACATTACATTCCAGTCTTGTGTGGCCCGTGTGTTCCCTAGAAGGTCAATGTGAGGTTCCTGGATAATTACAATATCATATTCCTTCGCTGTGAGGGGACCGCTTAATATACAGTGTTGAGCCGTGGAGGATTTGTTCAGGTTCTCTTGCCAGATGCGTAGGCGGACAGGGTCGTGTTCTTGTCGTCTATTCATATTGACGGTTGGGGGAGGGGGCAGCTTGCGTTTGTGGCCATAATTGGGGGCTTGAGGTGGGGTGCCGTGGAGAGAATCTTGTGTGGGGTGGTAGGTAGCTTCCACGTCCTGATCGTGATCCTCTGCGGTTGTGGGCTTCTCTTGGATCAAAGTAGCCGTCCAGAGTGTCCTGGGAGCGATGTGGTGGGACTTGTTGGAAGTTTCTCGGGGGCCTTTCTACGGGTTTGGGTTTCTGGGGTGCTGGTACCTGTGTCCATTCTTCCTCCGTAGGGAAGTATGGCATAGTGTTATCCACGTCTCTGGCGTCTAAGTCAGTGCATCGCCTTGCGAATTCTGGGCAGTTTCTGTTCCAACTGGCATGCTCATTTGATTCGCATGAGATGCAGCATACATGATCTTTGTTGGTGCATTCTGAGGTTCTGTGCTCCTCGGCGCAGTTGGCGCATGTGTCGTGGTGGGCGATGCAGTCCCTCGCGATGTGTCCGTATCGTTGGCATTTGGCGCATCGTGTTGGTTCCCTTTTGTTTTTCTTCATTTGTAGCTTGTTTTTGTTGATTGTGATGCCATCGCGGATTCCTTCGTTGGCGATTCTTGAGTCTTTGAGGATTAGGATAAGGTGAGCTACTTGTTGGGTCGGTGTGCGCTTCGCTGGGGGTTTAATCCATCTGGCTGTAGAGATCGTGTTTTGTTCCCAATTGTTCTCTTTCTCGAGTTCTCGTAGCTGTTCCTCTCTGTTGGGGTCAAAGGTTAGTGGGACAAATTGAATAACTACCGGGTACGCTCTGTCTTTGAGTGTGGCTTTGGGGTCTAACTTGTTTATGAATTCTTCTTTTATGTGTTGTTTCTTGAGGTGTTCGGCTGCTTGTTGTGTGAGCATTTCAATAACTATTCCTCCGTTACGGAATTGAGTGATGGCGCGGATTTCGAGTTCTAGCGTGTCGTCTTTGGTTATTGAGCTCATGGCCTGTTTGATCTTGTCAGTAAGTTGCGCGTGTGAGACCTTACCAGGGGCAAGGAGACTGTCTGGGGGCAGGTCAATGAGGATCTGTCTCGCTTTGATCGCATTTCTTGCTGCTCTGCGTGTGGATTCGTTGATGGTGTTATTGTCCGCATTTAGTCCTGATAGTAGAGCGTTCTTGTATCCGGTGTTCTGGGTTGTTGTTGCTTTGACTTGGGTGGTGAGGGCGTTGACTGCATCTTGTACTTTCTCTAGTCTGGAGTTGATGGTTGCTGAATCGTTATTTGTGTCGGGGTTGTTTTCTTGAAGGCGTGATGATATGTCTGAGATTTTGGTTTGCGTTTCGTTCAGTAGTGTGGCTGTAGTTGAGATATTCTCTGAGACATTGTGAATCTTAGCAACGTGTGGGGATATCGCAGTTAGAACTAGCTTGGCTATGTTGTCCGCCATGTTAGATTCTGTTGCGTCTTCTAGAAGAAAGGCGACTGCTCTGATTGCAGTTTGTACTGGGAGAGTTACTCCCGGCATCTGAGTTATGTGGAATAGTATGTCTGAAAGTTTGTCAGTAGAAAAGGGTTTGCCATTGATGGCCATTGCCGTTCTAATCAGGTATGCTTGGGCACTCACCGTGTCTTTGACCTCGTCATTCACATTCATAATCTCGTTGGTATCCATTCTAGATGAGGATCTTGTTGCTGGCGTATTTGTGTTTTGAGTGTTTTTCATTTTTATCGGCATTGTTTTGTTTTCCTTGTGTTTTTGGTTTTTGTAGTTATTATGAATCTTTTATGCATCTATATTATGTAGTAGCAAAGCGAGAGAGATAGTAAATGAGGTGAAAAGGGTTAGGAAAGGTGAGGGGTTGGCGCCGTTGGGCGTCAAACGCGCTGTTGAGCGCGAGACTGGTTGGGGTTTTTCGGGGTCCTAGTTGGGGTGCCACTTGGTATGGGTCCAAGAAGCGCTTACTTTACTTCTTAGATATTAGATACTGATATATCATACCTACAGGGTATTGTGAAATGCACGAGAATTCCGCTCTATTTGTTTGTTTCAAGTTTCGTCGTGGTCTTTTTGAATATTTACTACAAGCGAACCAATCACCTTCTGACTTTTACTTTGATAATGCCGTACTTGAAGCTTGAAACTTGAAGCTTGAAGGGTGACTCACTGAGCAGAAACATGGATAAGAAGAGGTGCATCAGCAAACTACAACTTTTCAATGCAAAGCACTTTCCATAGATTACTGTGTCATTCATGATTCGTTGTGATGCATTGTCAACACTGAAGTTGCTGATTCGTGTCTGCCACTGTCCAGAGGTCGATGTCTTCTTTCTGCGCGAAAGAATACCATTATCATGCACAGGTCAATAGCTAGTTTTCTGCGTAATTATCACATCGATCCGACAATAAAAGTCAAAACAAGTACAATGTAGCTCTCCGTCATCAATCAATTTATGACTCACTAAATAAGATATCATGAATATCTTATTTGTGCCCTGGTATACATTTATATATTCTCACTGACGGGATCCTATCAGTCACCGACCATGCGCTAGAGGAGATATCTAAAACCCTCGGGTAGTCCTAGAACTTGCTCTTCGGCTTCAGCAGCTTCGTTACACCGGGAAAGGTGTTCCCTAAATACCCAGAACATCGCAATAGACACGACGCTTGTCAAGGTGCAAACAAGACACGAGTTGACGTATGAAGGTCCCCAACTGGACGGCCAAAAGTATCTGCGACGGTGTCAGTATCGGCTAGAGCACGAGGTTGCTGTGAACTGACGGTGAAGTAGCGTTGCCAACTGATGCCATAGTGTTTATTAGTGCGATGGCTGCAGCGCGTTTAGACTGTGATTGGGAAAAGGTATTCATGACCCAGGTCAAAGCGACAGCATAGGCGATTGAGCTCTGAGCCATAAGGAAACTGTGTGGAGCACGTAAACCCGTGTAATCACAGGAGGAAAGAAAGGTTCCCACAGTGACAGATATCGCATGCCCGTATTCATTGTGGAAATTGCAATAATAAACCCAGCGATGCCGACGAGTAGAGGACCGGAAATATGCCAGAAGCGATCACCAGTTACGTCGGAGTGCCTTGATTCACTATTGTTAGTTCACTTATCGGACCTGCGTGAAATAAACACTGACCTGGCCACAACAAACGAAGTCGCAGTCCCCAAAATCCACGGAGGTGCGCAGAGAAAGAGGCTGGTCGTCGCGCTGTAACCCATTGTAGCTGATAGTGTCGGAAAAAAATTGGCGAATGATAGCGAGGAAACGATCAAATTAAGAGCAACACCAAGCCACCATACCCTCCAATCCATAAGAGCCTCGGCAAGACCAGAGAAGTTCTCTTCGGGTTTCCCTTTGTGCTCAAGTTTAACTTCTTCCTCCATCCGTTGCTTGGCCAGTATTTGTTCATCGGGCAAAAGCCAGACGCTCGGCGTTGAAGGAAAATCGGGTAAAATCCAGATTGCACACACTGCAGTGGCGAGTGTCAAAGCGCCCTCCACGAAGAAGAGCCACCTGCAGCGGAAAAATCAGAACGATTTGACTTTTGAAAGTACGCGCATTTCGGCTCAGACCTCCAAGCCGTAAAACCTAGTACACCGTCTAGGCTTGCTAAAATTCCAGACGCAATAAGAGCACTAAAAGCATAACTGATAGAGGTGCCGCAAAAAAGAAATGCTGTGCGTAACCCTAGTTCATCGCGCTTGTACCTGGAGGAACTTCAGTACATGCTGTTAGGATGTATTGGGATACTAAACCATCGTGAAAGAAGAAATACAGCTCCGGGAAAGAATGCCGCCTCTACAAATCCAATAAAGAAGCGCAAAATAAGAGCGGCATGATATCTAGAGCAACGTTACGAACGGACAGCATTAAAAGATCTAGACACCGACGTTTGTACCGCACCTTTCATGATCCCTCGTCAGCCAATGTCGATCAAGTGAAAGCAGTGTGACGTACTCATACACATGGTAATAGCAGCCCATGTTATCATACACCCCGAGAGGTACAATGATGGCCTTTTCATGTGGTGTAAGATCATGTTGCTTTCAAATTATTAGATATGCCGCAGGACGATAAGATGTTAGTACATACGAAGGAGCCTGGGTGAATAGATACCCCACAAAAAAGATGCTGGTGAGTGTATTAAATTGATTCCCCGTCATTCCAAGGTCCTCTTCGAAGCCACGCAGCCTCGCTGCACTTGTAGGTGGTTAAGCCATTTTATCCCATATGTTTTCGAAGGCCCGCTTACGCTATATTAGTACGGTCCATCTGCGCAGGCGATTTAGGCAGTCACGGGAAAAGTAGGTGCGCTGACGACTCACGATGTTCATAATGTAAACTAGAACTAGAAAGGCTACCCGAAGGTCTAACTTACGGAGAAGCCTCTTCTCCACGATTGGTCTATCAATGTCATCTAGAGGAAAGGCTAAACCGTCATCACTGCTTCCGCTAGGGGCTGCATCGTAGCAGGAACTACAGTCGACTGAACCAAGCAGGGGAAGATTTGACATTCCCGCGAATGAGAGAGATTTGGAGCTCCCAGATGCTGTTCGCTCGCAGTTTTGTATGTCGGCAGCCGAGTAATACAGGACCTGTGCCGTGGCAGGACTAGTAGAAGTGTCAAGCCTTTTCCGGTTCTATGTGATTCCGATATTCGGAGCCTAACCGCTCCCAAGTTGATATGAGCTTATTCGACCTTTACTAACGGCACCAATGATGACTGCTTGACCTGCATCGGGGGCGAGTGTCAGGATCATGATCATGATGGCCCTGCAATTGAATAGTCCTTTGATAAGTTAGGTTGCGAGTTGTGAGCGTTAATCGCATGCGGGAATTGAAACCTGGCGTATTTATTAGATGTACTATAGCTATGCATGCAACATGCAGACAATTGGCAGAATGTAGGAAAGAGCCGATCCAGGTCTGCCAACTGCAGTACTGCGACAAAAGAGCGTTCTAACGCTTCATCCCGGAGTCTGTGTCATTGCACCTGCTCGTTGAGTATACATATGTAATGGAACATATGGAAAAGCGAATGGAAAGTGGGTGTTGACTAAGCATTAATTTCGTTTTATATAAGTGTCGTTGATCGTACCGTAGGCCGCATCTAGTTCGCGTTCATCCAGACCAAGGCTCGTTTCTCTCTCGCAGGGGCCGTTGCAATTAACAAGTTGCCCATACTTTGAAGTCTGATCTGTCCATGGGTCGTCAGATACAAATCACCAACTTAACAACAAGTCTTCTGGATGCCCTGTGGCACGTCTCTCGAATCCTTTGACTAGAAAAATCAGACATGGTCATAGTGTTTGAGCTCTCCATCGTCAGTTTATGACTAGCGTGACAACAGGTTCGCAACAACATGTGTGTGCATGTGACCGTCCACCCAAACTGGTATTTTTTCAGGGAACTTTGCAACTTTTGGCCCACTCATCGTTCCTTCCCATGGACGTCGGACCCTTGGGACTGAAAAGTGGGTGATGCCGGGTCGTATATCACATATCAAGACTCATCAAGCTTTCCGATCATTCTCATCTCACGCCACCCTCCTCCCTCCCGACAACAGCGTCGAGTTTGCTTGGGGCCTTAAGTGAAAACATTTCCTGTTCGCTGTGCCTCCTGATATGGTCAATTGGCAAGATTCACAAGTGATCGAGGACTGGAGCGCAGTTCTCGTCGATATCACCTTTGTCATGCTAGGATTATACGGGTGTGTTTCTCCTTCATGCCTCCACTGAAGCTCACACAGAGATCGATATATCAAAAGATGGAGTTACATGAATTCCTGCCAGGTCGAAAGTGCTCTACTTCGTCGCCAGCTTCCATTTCGATGGCGAATGGTGAGCACATTCATGGTGTCATTTGTGATTGAATTTGACGCGTTTCTTCAGGTTCCCTATTTGATCGGTCGGACGTGCTTTCTCGTGACTCTGATACTCTCGTCAGTGCGTCTGCGACAATACTCGGTGCTAGTACTCATCCAGTTTCAGCTCCGTGACCAGCGTCGCCATCCCGTCCCATATCGACTGCTATTGTAAGCATCAGAGCAACCACTGCGTTTGTTTCCCTTACAGTTGTCAACCATTGCAGACGTGTTGAAATTCCTGGCGGTAGGGCGCTCGCTTGTCATATGACTTCCTTCTTTTGATATTCGTCCCAGTTCTCGGGTAATATCGTTGTGGCTTGTACATCCACGAACCTTGTCGTCCGGACGTGAGTCTCTCCTGTTCTTGGTGGTTACTTGGTCTCATACCGTGCTCAAGATGGACCGTTTGGAAGACCAACCGTTTTGTCTGTCTGTTCATGGGGCTGATGACTCTAGGACACTGGTTCATGATGATTCTCGGTATGCATCCCACATCCGTATACACGCCAGCCACCTGACCTCTCACCCCTCCACAAAAACAGACTCAAAAGAAGCACGAATCTCATCATCACCTCCAACTTCCGAATTCTGCGGATTCATGATTGTGAATCCCACATATTCAGCTGCTACATCCCTGTACAGTGAGTCCCGTCTCGTCCCTATCAAAGTGCAGTACTTAAGATTCATGACAGCTACGATATTAGACTTTGTGCTCTTGAAACTGACGATCTTCGGCTATTGGCGCTCCTCGTCATTGTCTCTCGTCACGATCATCCGTACCCAGGGCATCATCATGTATTTCATCGTGTTTTTTGCTAGTGTCCTTCCGGCCGTGCGTTCTTTTCTGTGTCGTATCGTGCTCGTGCTCGTGCTGAAGTATGTCTAGATCTTTTCTTGGCTGAACCTCAATTGTGAGTGGCGACCACGTGTCCCGAGGTGATGTTGATTGATTGACGGGGTGTTATAAGATATTATGAATGTGTTCTTTGCTTGGCCTGGTACGTCCATGTCGAGATTCGATCTTGTCTTTGGTGCTCACTGACGGGGAACTGTAGCAACTTGTGTCATGTACGACTCCCCTCTTCTCCCTCTCCACATCCACACTCACTCACTTTTGCACAGGACGATAGCATCAAGCTACGCAGTGATTCCAACATTCCCCACCCCTCAGGGTACAAGCCACAGGTAAGCCATCCAATCCATTCTACCCATGACCACCCTCACGCGGTGCTCGTCAGAGCCCCCGTGAATACGAGTGTGGAGAAATCGAACGTGCGGATTGTGAATCCCGTTTTGTCTGGGTGAACACGGCGGGCGGTTTTTCGGTTTAGTTTGGTTGTAAGGAGATAGTGTTGGATTCGATCGGGTGGGGAGGTCTGCGTTGCAAGTCTTGTACTACCCAAGTCCAACCTTTAAACATGGTTCATGCAACGTTCACAACACCTTCAAATTCTTGCTGCGACGTCGCCCGAGGTTCCACTCAAATAAATCAAATAAGAAAAAAGGCAAGGAAAGTCTAAGCAAATACTATGTATGTATGTATATAGCCAACCGTAAGACGAGTTGAAGTGAGGTATGATATGATACATGCGTCAACGGAGCGTGGGCGTGAGCGTACTATGCTGGGGATGTGTTGGAGCTTGGGGTCCGAGCTATAAATATATGAGGGGCAGAAGGAATGAGGCGGTGGCTAGGTGGCTACGGAATGAATGTCCGCTGTGTATAGTAATAGTTGGAATAAACGATCAAGGGAACGTCGTTGTACTCGATTAAGGTAACAAGCGCAGGAATCCATGTCCAGTGTAGAGAAAAAGAGAAAAGGAAAAAGGGGAGTCCTAGTCCAAGCAATAAGAGATACGATGGCCCTAAGAACGATCAACGTGAGGGGCGATGCGAGCGCGCTCCGCTTTACCTCCTTGGCGCGGGGAGATAAGGGAGAACCAAGGTCCTTGATAGCTCGACTCATTGACACCGCGAAGGGCTCTTTTGTCTCGGTCCATTCCCCTGCCCTAGGCTATTTCCTTGTCCATCACTCCCAGCCCACAAGTGGGGGTACTCGCATCCGCCCATTCCCAAAGATGAAGACGGGGACTCGGCGAGCGCTACGATAGGGATCGTGAATCTCTTCCTTGGTGGAATCACGGGCTTCATCGGTGCATCCAACGGCTTGACCTGCATCGATCCTAAGTCTATCGGAGAGGGCACTGACGATGTGCGGCGTGGGTAGAAATTTGATATTGGGTTGTCAGAGGTAGGCATCGACATTTTATCGCGCATAGGTCCACGCATAGAGTTGTGCATATGGGGATAATAGGAATCCTCAGCAGGAGCATCATCCACGTCTGGATCCACGTCCGAGTTCAGGATAAAGGCTTCTTCTGGATAGTCGCATTCCAGATTTGGACTGGTGGTATTGCTATTAGCAGGAGACTCTGGTGGACTACTTGAGGCGAGAGAGGCGGTTGTGAGAGAGGGAGTGGAGAATTCGGTATCTGATGCGAAGAGGGAGCAGTCTGTGTCTGAGTTGTAGCTTGATTCTGGTTCTGAGAAGGGGTCCTGGGTTGGACTAGCAGTTGTGCTGTCCAAAAGAGGGATGAAAGCAAAGCGTTTTCGGGGAGGGAGGTTACTCTTTATTATGGGGAGAGGAGAGGGTGTTGTGCGTGGTGGAGGGAGGGGAGGAGGTGGGACTGGTATGTTATGTGGCTTAAGCTCTGCTGATTGGATCGGTCTACAGCGTTGCTTTGACGGGGACGCGAATAAGATTGAATTTGGATGAAGGTCGAGCGCTGGATAACCTGTTGTTGGTGGTGGTGAGATTGGTGGTGAAGCCGGTGAAGCTGATACTGTTGTTGGATTTAGTGGGAGGAGTGGGATTGGTACGTTGCGAAGAAATACGCCAGAGTAAGGCCTGGATGAAAGTGGGTCGTGACTCTGCTGAGCACGAGGCAGGGAACGTTGAATCATCTTGAGCTCAAGTACGTCCCTATAAACCCCCAAAGGTCAGTATATGAAATTTACAAAGTCGTGTGACTGACTCGTATGAGAGACGTTGTGAGATTTCAGTGGGTGTTCTATCCCACTCATCAGCTTCAAAGACTTGTTCAGTTCCAAATGCGACATGTTTCTTGCAAGTGCCATCGTCCGTGTCAGATTCTACGGGGGTGGCAGAGCCAGAATGCGAAGGAGATTTTAAACAAGATTTCATGCGAGGTAGAGAAGGTCTACAAGTTGAAGGATCGTCGCAGCTGTCGTCAACCTCGCTCATAGTAAAATAGTATTTGAACATCCCATAAACTATAACTTTTCTTCTTTCAAGCCTATCGGGCATGCACGGAAACGGATGATCCCGTGATTTGATCCGTGGTAGGCCTGTGACCAAGCCACAACCAGACCTCTTGGCCAGACCACCAGATCACTCCAGACCACCAGAACCCTGAATCCAAGCCTTTATTTTGACAGACCAAGCCTCGATTTTGGCACTTCTGACCCACTGCATGACACCCAAGTACTGCTCGAGTACCCCACCTTCATTATTTTGCCATTGGTTTCTATTTCAGGATCACCGCATGCACCACAACGAGTCACCCACACCTCCCAACGGCTCATAATGCCCACAATATTGATCTCCCGAACATGACCGAAACCAAAACCTTCTCATTCAAAGTTTCATCACTCTGTATCCATTCAAAAATAGAAATAGATCATGAACTTCGAATTACTTGTATGCCTTGGACCGTTGTGGCCATCGTAGGCTACCTTTCGGTACCGCTTTATCAGCAAGTTGGGTAGGCAGTGGTACTCCATGTTCTAGTGCATGCCTGGTTCGGGCACCTTCCCGTACCACCCATACTTGGATCCGGACGACACAGCTCGCCAACCGTTGCAATTTAATTCCAGTGCATATCTCAATTCAGACTACTCAGCTTTCACCCATTCACCACAATCTTCCCGTGCCCGACTCAGTCCGACGTCCTTGATGAGGCCAGCGAGGATGCCACGCTTTGCACGTCATAGCATCAACCGGGGTGGGGCTTTACTTTTGCCACAATTACGTTTCACACTTCTGCAATGCTGACATCTCATACTTCTACCATGGTTACGTTCTGCACTTCTACAGCAGTGGTGTGTCATACTTCTGCCAGTGTGATCTTCCATACTTCTACAATGGTGGCGCCTCATACATTTACCACAGTTACGTTCTACACTTCTACAATGGTGGCGTCTCATATTACTTCTACCAGTGATATTCTGTCCTTCTATCACTAGCATACTATTCGTAAGTAACTTACTCTTTACACCCACCACCATTAGTCATCCTTCATTAGATCGGAAATCAGGGACTGATGTCATTATCATGCAATGCGATGAATTGTCAACGGCCGACGCTTGGGATCCTGACGTGATACAATACAGATACGAGAATGCAGAACTAAGAGAAACGTTGAACGTTGAAGCTTGAAGCCGAAGCTGGCTAGCGTAGCGCGCAGCAACAGCGATATGAAGCGCCGGTACGACAGCGCATATCTATCACCTTGCTATCACCGGTACTTGCAATAACACATCCTATAAACAGCCAAGTAAGTCCGTTTTATCTAGTTACATCAAGCGCCTTCGATCTGAATGATTTCATATCTGGGTTGGAAGTTGATACGGGTATTGTTGATCTTTTCTGAGCATAGCTGCGGCTGAGATTTGACCTATTTGTGGAGGACCCGTTATGCAGCGACCACAGCGACCACGACAACTGCTAATAATATGACGGTTATCCATCCCCGACTACAAGATGAAGGTCACCGAGTCGGAGTAAAGCTTGGACCCCAATTTCAACGCCGACGCCGACGGGGACGTATGGCCGCTTAGCACTCAATACTCAGTACTCAGACCTCAGGCCTCAGGACTCGGTCGTTGATCACCTAGCAGGGCATCCGGATCTATCATACCCCGCATCCAAAGAGCGGAATCCAAACGTCATACTTGCATACGATATTTTTCCCCAGATCGGATCCGGATACTCTAGATTGGAGACCTCCTCGGATGTGACGCGAAAGAAGGTGAAGGACCGCGTGCTAGAAACCGAGCAACAGCGCTTATTATTACACCTGAAACACGGTCAGAAAGTTCCATGTATGGACAGATGCGATGCATATCCCGAGACATTGTATGCATCGATTTTGAATTTGAGCAAGCATCTATCACGGACTGCCATGTTATTACCAGCTGAGTGACTTAGTGTCCGCTTACTGGTAACTGATTAATGTTGGGAAATCAGTATCGATAATGAATATAATTCATATCCAGGTCGCAACTTCCAAGTGGGTTTCGTCTAAACTTGAACATGGCACGCGGAAACCTATTTTCCAGAGGGTCACCGTGCAACAACAGCCAGCTAATAAAATATGATCATGGTTATGGATGACCCGCTATACGTCCATGAACGCTTGAGCTCCCAAGTTGAGTCAGGATCTTCCATTGGGAGGGCCGGCCGGGCCCGACGAATTCAGGATTCCGAGGAGCGACCGCTGGAAACTCAGTCGTTAGTTGGGAAATCTGAGTCCGAGTCACTTGGCAGGGCAAGAAGTCCAAGTAGATCGTCCGGAACTATCACACCCCGCACGTCTACATCCGAAGAGCAGAGTCTGGACGTCATGATCATATTCACATCCCATATACTTTTCAACATCGGAAACACGTCAGGTGTTCATGCGAGACCTCGTGGATTGTGGTGAATGGAGGTGCGGAACAAGCCTCAAGGCCTCATGACTTACTGACGTAGTAACTAATATATAACAGTCAGCTGATATGATCACCCTTCCATACATCCCCAGGAGGCTTTGGTTGGTTAACCGTTAGAAATCAAATGCACCCTCTGTCAGAAAGTTTGGGGGGTTCTTTTCTCTAACCTGCATGTGTCTAGTGGTATCGCACGGAGAAGTCGTACAGATATATAGGTCTCCACATATGGTCTGCTCTAAATAAAACTGGAGTCCAATGCATACGCATGCAGTATGGCGTATACGAAATGCCAATGAAAACCGCTCGGATCCCTAATCTTCGGAGGAAAATGAATCTACAGTATTTCTATCGTCCTGATGTCCATCAAGTCCCAACGAGAAGTCACATCTTTGACTTGCGCAATGATATCACGATCTGACGCGACTCTCTTGTATTCTCCGCCACGCTGCCGCGCTAGTAAAAATGCGCCAAAAGGCTGCCCGAGGCGAACAACCAACCGCAATGCTCGCAATTCTAGATCATCTACCTCCTGTTTTACAACAGAACGGCTAGGTAAGTCGTCAGATGGAGACGAGGGTGGCGTCCAATAATCCCCTTCGCTCTCCGTATCGTCTTGCAGATCTGTAAAGTCCGGTAGCTCGAGAAGAGATCGATCCCAGGGACGGACAAGCACCAAGGTTTGCTGAGTGGGCCTTATCTGCGAGAACTGAACGATTGGCTCTTTGGTGGTGATCAGCAGGTCATGAAGCCCGTCTGCCTTGACTTCATATCGAGCCTCCTGGGATGTACCGTAGCTCAGATTGACTTCTGTAACGCGGAATGCCATGCAAGGCAGATGTAATCTGCAGTTCGCGAAACGAGCAGCGCTCGTGTGATCAAGCCGGTCGTAAAGTTCCGAAGCCACATTCACAACCAGGGGATTTTCTCGCAGGGAAGAGATCGTTGTCTGAATCTGATCTTCGGACAAAGATCGAAGGACACGTGCAGGAGTGGCGTAAGAAGTGATATAGGCCGGAAGACAGCTGTTGAACTCGGAAGGTTGTCCGATCCAGTCGAGGACCGTGATGTCTCCCGACCGAGCCACGATCTCCTGCAGGAGCCGCCCGAGCGCGTTCTGCTTCTTCTCCCCGTATATTACAGGTAGGTGGACACCGAAGATCCCAAATAATGAGTACGCGACGTCTTCTTGCAATGTGGTGACGCGAGATGATGCCCATTGAAGTCTCTGTCGAGCGTCGCTCATCCCAGGACGAAAAGAGATTAGGGCCCGTGCATCTATTCCCGTCGCATCCTCCAACTCCTTCATGATTGCAGGAGACTCTTTGTGGTTGGGAGAGCGATCGTCGAGATACAATGACCAATCCTTCTGATAGAATATTACAACTTTTGGAGCGACGAACTCTTGAAAGGTCCATCCTCGCTGGTTCCAAACACTGCTCGCCAAAGCACCGGGACGGGATGAAGGAGGCACATCGCATAGGTAGACGATGGTAAGTGCTGAATGACGGTACCAGACGAACATGGAGTTGACCGATTCTTGGAGCTCGGTGTTGCTCCTCTTGTCGATGCAGCATGTGTCCATCCACGCCCAGCGATACCCAGAATTGCGAGCGACCACGCAGAACGACTGCAGTTTCGCGATCCCGCCAAGTCCATTCAACTCGCGCACATCTTTATCCTGGATGTCGTGCAGCAGCACCTCCGTCTCTTCCCACCTGTGTGACAGCAAGACGCAGCGGAAGTACGTTGCCACTACATCTTTGATGCGCTCTGCTCGGAGATTCGAATCCTTCGTTGAAAATGAGATAAGCTCGTTGTACTCTGCACTCGTTTTGAAGGCGTTTATTTGTGCCACTCTATCGCACAAAAGACCCGTGGATGTACTAAGCAGACGCAGCGGGGCATATTCGAGTTCGATCCAAACTGCTCTTTGAATGGCGTCTTCTGCTTCAGATGGACAAACATACTGCTGACGCAGATCTGCAGAACGAGATAGGTCTTTCGAGATCATGCAGGAGTTTCCCGTGGCTTACCTCGGATGTGAGCTTCGGGAGAATGGTCCAACTTGGACAACATGATTTTGAAGGCCTCGATGGCTTCGTCGTAACGTTGCGCACCACGCAGCGCTGTATGCATCAACTCGTATCCAACGTGAGACGACGGATTGAGTTCGGTAGCCTATGTATGCATTTCCGAAGTCAACATGGGCTACCAAATCATAGATGCCATCGTACCTTTTGCGCGTCGAGAAGCGCCTCCTCCCACAGCCTTTTCCCCAACTTTGCCCTGCTGCGATTTACGAAGAAGACATAGGATCCAGAATCCAGGTCGATCGCCGCCGAGTACAGGTCGATAGCCCTGTCGAAATCGCTTGCAGCGAGGGCAGCATCTCCGCCGGTAAGAAGGGGCGCGCTGCATTTTTCCGTAAAAGCTAAGTGAAATGCGGGTGAGGATTGTAGCTTGCATGTCATTGCAGACTCCAGACTTACCGTTGAACCATTCAAGGCAGATGGCCCTCGTTGTTTCGTCGGTACTGTCCATCATGTATCGGTATGATCTCACGCCATCTTGAAGTTTCCCTGCCAGAAGGAGTGCATCGCAACGTTTCTGGTGTGCAGTGAGCCACAAAGATTTGAGATCCCAGCCGAACAGCTGAACAAGGGATTTGGTTATGCAAGCGCTTCGGGTGTGTGTTGACGTACCACTACCAAATCCTCGTAAATTTCATGAATCTCCGATTTCAACGGTAAATTGCTGCAGTCGATGGCGGCAGTGAAATGGACAGCGGCTTCGTCATGACGTGCGCCATTCAAGGCTTCGAGTCCAAATTCAACACGAAGATATGCCTGATGTGCGAGTTGTAAAGATGAGTGTCGATGACCAAGCATAGATGATACTTACTTGCACCACACGACATGCGAGAGTGTCGGCATGTGGACAACCGGTAGTGAGTTCTTTGAGGAGCAGGTTTGCCTCGTCATATTGATCTGCATTGAAGAGCGCGATGGCCTGAAATATGCGATGAAGCGGAGAGGATGCGAGGGAAATGCAACATACTTTGATTAAGAGCAGGAAATGGAGGATTTGTGAATCTTGGTCCGTGTACATGGATGCAACGTCAAATGCTGCCCTCGCATCTGGGACGCGGCCTATTCCGCAGAGGGCAATACCCTTGGAGATGTAGCCTGTCAACGAGGGCTCAATGTTGATGGACTGTGTCACCATCGAGTTAGCCATTCATAAGGGAGCGATGATGGTTCAGCAAATCTCACATTCATTGCATCCCGAAGGGCACGGTCCCAGTCGTGTTTTCGCGCCATGACGAATGAACGATGGGCATACGAAGTATGGTTGTTGGGATCGTTGTTGACATCTTGGGTGAGTAGTTCTTCGGCGGTAGATAAATCTCCATTCACACATGCAGTACGGGCGGTCGTGATGGCTAGAATCTGCACGAAACATGCTCGAAATGCGGTATATATGAGTGAAGGACAGAAACATGCCTTTGAGCGATGGGTGTAGGAAGTATGGTTGTTTGCATCCGTGGTGATATCTTGCGTGGGTAGTTCTTCGTCAGTAGATAAGTCTCCATCTCTGTATGCATCGCGGACTGTTGTAATGGCGATGGTCTGCAAGAAGCATGCTCGATTTGTGGTATATGACTCAGGGATGGAAACATGCCTTTGGATGAGTACCCTGAGGTACTGGCCACTCTGAGATCATATTATCGCCGCCTCCGCTGAGGATGTGGTTGCCGTCCACAGAGAAAGTGACGCATATCGCTTCGAATGAGTGCTTGAAAACGGCAATGGTTTGTCGATCTGAGAGCCGCCAGAGACGGATGCGTTTGTCCGTAGATGCGGAGGCGGCGAGCGTGCCAGCAGGATGAATGGCAATGGCATTGATGTGGTCAGTGTGGCCCGTCCAGGGATCACCAACCTGATTCCATGTTATTGTATCCCATTTGCGTATGGTAGGATCGAGATCATTGCCGCTTGTGAGAAGGCGTGTGCCATCGGGCGTCCACACGAGTGACAAGTTATCTCCTATGTGAGCCTTGAACTTTGCGACGCGTTTCCTCATGCCTGAATTGTAAATTTCGATATGTCTGTTTGTTGCGATGGCAATACGTTCTCCAGACGGTGAATACCGCACGCAGTTGACAAAAATACCACACTGTATTGGATCTCCTTGCGGCTGCCAGGTTTTGGTATTCCACGGTTTCATCGTTTTGTCATATGAACCAGTACTGGTAAGTACTGTTCCATCGGGTGAAAAATCCAGCGAGGTGATCCAATTGGAGTGTGCTTCGATTTTGGTGAGTGATTCGCCAGTTTCTCCGTGCCAGATGAAGACGTCTCCCCAATCACCGCTTGCTATCAATTGTCCATCTCGTGATACAGCCAATGTCCGCACACCATTGCGATGCCCTTTCATCGTGTTCAATACAACACCTGTCTTCAAGTCCCACAGACAAAGCGTCGTGTCGCGTGAGCCCGTAACCATCCGTCGTTTATCGGGGAAAACTGCGACTGCATTTATGCCGTTTCGGTGGCCATCGAACTCTTGTAGGGGTGTGGTGATTGGAATGAGGTTCGACATTTTACTGGATGTTGATGGTGTTGAGCACGGTCGAGGTGGACTTTAGAGGGATTGTGTCTTTGTCCAAGCTGTAGAGGTGCGTGTATTATGCGTTTTATGGTGCTTCACTGCTTCAACCTCAATAGACGCGCAGGACGCTTAAAGCTGTTCGCTTCCACGCCTCCATCACTGTAATGCACCCTATTGCCATACCCGCTGTCCTCGACGGTATGCCGTTCCAGCACTCTTGCAGTGCATGCATGCGTCCCACTCTTGTCTTCAATGTTTGCAGAATGCGATCAATCGAGCAGTCGGTGCTTCCCAGCGTTCGCATCTGACTATTGTGACGGGGGTTGCCGGTGGGACAGGAGCAGCGGGTAGAGAGGCAGGCAGGTGGGAGTGCCATGTCGGAAATTCCCATAGGTGCCTTGCAAGGCTTCTAAATTGTGACGTGATTTATCGCGGTTTACAGCTGTTTTCACAAATATGCGGAATCGCAAAAGTTGAAACTCGCGCGTCAGAAATGCCCGGCCAGGACCCCGTAAGCACTTGAGGCAATACAGCGCGCCGTCGGCACTGAACACTCACTGTCATAGTTAGTATGCCACCACGCACTGTTTCAGCAGACTTGAAAGCTCGAATTCCTATTCTACGTCGACGTGGGCATTCTGTCAAGCATATATGCCATCTGCTTGGGGTCAAGAAGACTCTCGTATATAAAGTCTTACAACTTTTTCCCTTAGTTTCACAGTACCACTGCAGCAATCAAGGCCGGCGTCGCAGCCTCACTGTCAATGACATCGCATTCATTACAACCATCCTTTGTCATCGTCCCACCATCTATCTTGATGAACTACAACATGAACTGCGCTCTCGTCGTGGTGTGTTTGTGTCCATACCAACACTTTTTCGCACATTTCATCGGCTGCATGTCAATCGCAAGTGTATTTCGGCATATGCTCTTGAAAGGAATGAGGAACTACGTGCCATTTTCATGAATACTATTGCTGAGATAGCACCTGACCCGGAAATGTTGATGTTCGGAGACGAGGCTGCAAAAGATGAAAGAACAATCATTCGACGACATGGGAGATCAAAAATTGGCACAAGGTACGTCAAAATTTACTTCTATTGGTATGTAATGACCATTTTGTCCAAGGTGTGTCCAAAGGAAATGTTTCGTGCGAGGCAAACGGTACTCGATCCTCCCAATCCTGACTCTTGATGGGATCATTGCCTATGACATTATTGAAGGACCAGTCACGAGTGAGCGCTTTGTCCAATTCCTGTGTGAGCATGTGGTAAGTCTCGTGAACGTGATATAGATTTGAAGTTGACTGATTGTTAACGTTCACCATAGCTGCCTTTAACTAATCCATACCCTGGGCCGTGCAGCATACTAGTCTTAGACAATTGTCGCATTCACCATAGTGATGAAGTCCGTCGTCTTGTTGAGGAAGAAGCCTTGTGCAAGCTTGTATTTTTGCCTCCATACTCGCCTGACTATAACCCTATTGAACAAGCCTTTTCGTCTATCAAGGCTTATTTACGACGCCATTTTGAGGACAAGTCTTTGACAAGCATAGTACGAGCATGCCAAGGCATCACACCTGACAAGGCAGAAGGATATTTCCGTGCTTCGGGATACATTGCATAGTTGTTCCACTGTGTTGTAGTTCTAAATAAAAGGATCTTCTACATCTTCGTGATCACCCTCAGACTCGAAAGTGTACCCTGGAGGGAAGATAACCCAACTCTGCCTGTTTTCGCAGAAGTAATAAAGATCATAGTCGAGTTCTGGTTGCTTGTCTGACTGCTCATCAGACTGCATAATGATGATGAGTTGAGATATAACTACACACCAGGTGCACGTTCATCACATTTCATACAACTTCCACTGATGCGTGCTCGTCCCCCATCATGGTATCTCCTCTCATACTGGAATTTCTTCAATTCAGGAACATTTGACTCAGAGGTATCACTGCGTTGTCATTTTGCTGTATTCTTTGCAAGAGGGCCATTCCACCATGTAATGCTGCCTTTTTTCAGCTGAATAATATCACCTGCACTGAGACCAACTCGAACGAGATCCTGGTCAGCCATTTCTGCAAGTATATCTGGCCCTGCACCAATACCACGTAGGGAAGATTCGTATGTTGTAGCAAATGCAACACCAAGGTGGTCCTCAGCATGCTTCAAAAAACGGGTGAGCATCGAAGGTGTCAGTGCAGGAGGTGATATGATTCCAGGTACAGGGAGTGAGGTTGTAGCTCGAGCTGGGTGTGGTGTCAAAGGGGTAGTTGTCTCACGAGTGAGGTCTTGCACAGTTCGCAAAAGGAGCATAGATGTGAGTGAATTGATGTCAGTTGTGTTGATTGATGTAGATGCAGGTGTCGAAGTGACAACAGTGTAGTGATGGACAGGTCCGGTTCGGTCCGGTTCTCTAGGAAATTCAGAGAACCGTGGACCGGACCATCGGTTCAGTCCTCTCAGTAAGCAGAACCGTGGACCGGACCATCGGTTCGGTCCAATAATGGTCCGGTTCCGGTTCAGCAAGGGTTTGAACCGAGAACCGGACCCAAAAAATGTCAAACTTCATATACAATCCGGTTCATCTTCTCGCGCCCTGAACGCGATCCTACCGCTTGTTGCGTCTGGGCAGCCCTACGAAGCGCACCAGAAAACACGCACCTTCACTTCACGGTACAGCAAGTCTGGGCAGTACGACACTGCCATCGACGTGCTCTTCCAGAGTGCGAGAGAACTCCTGAAAGTTAGCCAGCATTGTCCTGCAGGTGACCAAGACCTGCATCACTATATCGGAGAGCTCTTATATAAAGGTATATGCGGCAGTATCTACAAAACTGACTGTCGTGCTCACGATGTGTAGATGGGGCTTTCGATGCGGCAGAACCTCACTTCCTTGCGTCAGGAAAAAGGGATAGCGCACGTTCACTAGCGAACATGATGATAGAATGGTCAGCAGCGGGCGGAGCTCTAGGGAACTTTGCCCTTCGAGGTACACTTCCGTAAGTTGGAACTCATGTCCATACCATTTCCTTCGTTCCCCGGTTCATGACTTCTCATCACAGATATCTACAAAATGGCAACATCGTTGGAGCTCGCACATTCATTTCGCAGTTCATTGCACAAGTGATTTCATCTTGGCCAAAACTGATTTCGCCACTGCAATCATCTCCATTGCCTGTCACTCCTACGGGTGAAATCACACATATGACTGAGCCTGTGCTCAACTTCTGTCAGCTTGCTGTCTTGACATGTCAACATGCAAATGGGGAGAAGAATAAAGTGATGCGCGAGAGCTGGGTGAGGCTTTGTGGAACATATCAATCTAAAGGTGGTGTCTTAGCGACCAGGGAGGTTCAGACGGTGAGTCAAATGATTATTGCTTGCTTGATTTTCTAAAGACAAACCGCACCGTTTAGACACTACAGGAGATAGCAACGTTGTACTTTGCAATTCCTCCGCCACGCACTCAGCCTGATAATCCGTTGGGAGCTATGATTTCCTCTATGCTGGGCGACTCGCTCACCCATCCCTCGTTGACAATCGGTTCGAACCTGTTCGGACCTGTTCGAACCAGGTTCAAGAATTCTGCAAGTCCTCGAACCGTGGACTGGACCGACGGTTCGGTTCCCCCTATTGCCCGAACTTTGAACCGGACTTCGGTCAGGTTCGAAACGGTTCGGGTTCGAACCGTGGTTCAGGACCGGACCTGGCCATCACTACAACAGTGGATCGGCGCATCGGATGCAAAGCAGGCTCGCGTTTTACAGGGTCAAAAGATGGGATATTGGGTGGCACAGTGGTGGTAGCCTCCCCATCATACTTGATAGTTCATACTTAATAAGTATACAATGCAAAGGTGTAGACACATACCATTGCACGAGCCCAGTCCTTTATCATCGCTGGTGTACATGGGATCTCCATCCCACTTTGGTGGACATATGTGACAGAGTTATCATAACTGTTACCCCATTTCTTGATGATAAGCCTGCGATAACGAGCAATTTCACGATCAAGTTCAGTAGTACAGTCTACAGCTACAATCTCATCATCTGATGCTCCGCTATCTTGGCTTGCCATATCACCTGCAGTCTGTTCTCGTCAGCCACAACAATCACACAACAAATTCTCATCACCACATACCTCATTTTGAGCAGTAGAGACAGGGAGTTTCTCGACATTTTTCATGTCAACAAAGACTTTCACCTTTTGAGGCTCTTCAGAGATGAGCTTCTTTGCCATCTCCGCATAATCTTCTTTGTTGTCAACATCCATGGCTTCGACGCGGCTATAAAAAACCGCTGAGATAAGATCAAGCCCCATGGATGACATAAATATCACTTGCCCACGAGAATTGCCAACAAGGTACTTGAAACCATACTTTTTCCTCTCAGTAACCCTGTATTGTGACTTGTCATGTTTTGCGAGGATGGTAGTCAGAAATTCGAGGTAGTTGGGCTCAGAGATTTGAAATACAAGTTCCTTGACTTTTGTAGACTTGACTTCCTTGGACTTTGCTTTGCCATTAGTTTCAGTAGTAGTCTTTGTGTATGTATCAAGATGGACAATGAATGTAGCCCTAAATTGAGGTATCTCGACGGAGGGTGATGGCGACGACATTGTCTTTCAGCGAAGCACTCTGAATTGGTGCTGGATTTGTCACTCAAGTGCTTATGGGGTCCTGCTCGGGCATTTCCGACGCGCGAGTTTCAACTTTTGCGATTCCGCATATTTTTGAAAACAGCTGTAACTTGTTTAACCAAGTTGAATCAATTCGCGACGCCGGTCAAATCTTATTCATGACTCAGCCTCTGCGGCTTACACATGAGGCCCCTCTATCATAATGTATATCATCTACTCATGAGCTAAGATTTCGGCTCGTCGTTCTTGCTTTCGCAAAGCACCACCTGCTCAACTGCGTTTTTTAAGCTTTAACTAAATCCTTGATTTGATCATTCACACTCATGTCCAACAATGCCAGCACTTCGTCAAAAATGGCAGAAACTGCTGGATCATCTACAGCCGCAGGACCAGCGACATCAGGGAATACAATTGAGACCAACGTTAATACAGCGCGTACACCCCAACAAATCTTGGTGATGGCCTGTCTCACCTACATTGACGACTACAGACGTTCACGCATCAACAAACTCGATGCCAACGTTGGAGTCATTGAAGCCATTTCAGAGGAACTGTTCAACATACCCGGACAACGGGTCTCAACAGTTGCAGGACCTTATATCTCCATGCTCGATGAGATCGAAGCAGAGTTTACACGAGCCGGCAACACGTCAGCTGAGAATCAAAGAGGATGCACGGATGAACCGGCATTCGTCGACGAAGAAGCCCCTTTACCTGAGGATAGGAGTACAGCAGGGACAGTCGAGCCAGGAGAACCTGCTCGGAAACGTTCAAAGCTTGACTACTCGTCTATTGAGGCAGCGATTAAAAGCAGGAAGTATGAACTGCTCTCCCCTAACCTCGAACGAACAAATGAGATACTCAAAAACTGGTCGCAAGACCAAAAGGAAGTACGCCGATACCTCATGTATCTAGTGCTGCCGTGGTCCGGTTCCGAACCGTGGTTCGAACCTGACCAATGGTCAGGTTCGTCCATGGTTCGGTCCACGGTTCTCCATTTTGGCCGGACCGAACCGAAATGAGGTTCACGGTTCGTTGGTCCTGGGGAGGTTTGGTCATGGGTTCGGACCTTCCCGAACCGTTCCGAACCGCGAACTGAAACTTCATTGACGAGGCTGGTGACTTCCCTTCCGCACTCATGGGTACTTCGACTTCTACATAGTGTTACGACTGGGATGAGTCGAGCTATCTCTGTCTGAGTAGACAATCGGCAGAATGCCAGATAGACGTGAGTCTGCTCTCGAATGAGAGATCAAAGGTTCTGGCTAAGGCGAGTGTCACTGACTCCCTTAGAATAATGGTTCTGAGACAGTAAGGTTGGAGACCTTACTGAAGGACGATGTTCCAGGTAAAACCCAGTAGATTAAAGTAAGGAATACAATCGTAAGTAGCTAGGTTTATATACGAATGTTCAAGCAGAGCTTGTAAATGTGTTATCAAGATAGAAGCATGATAAGGGATAAGAGTCAAGGATAAGGCGGACAGCCCGCTTGGCGAAGATAAGAGATAAGCATGATACGGACAGCCCGTTTGTAAGCAAGATCAAAAAGAAATGAGTATAGGGGCTAAATGTTACTGTAACATTACCCCCACGTTATGGTTGAAGTCTCCGACTTCAATATTCCTCGGTGTTGGTATATTCGTTCATGTAGTCGTAGTAGATGGGGTCTGCGTCAGCATTACAGAACTCTGGTTCGTTATACTTGGTGGCATACTCCCTGTTTGCCCGGTCTATTTCCTCCTGGAGTTCTTCGTCTTTCTTGGCCTCCCAAGCTGACAATGCTTCATAGAAGCCTTCATCGGTGTAAACCAATGGGAATAATACTTTCTCAGCAGCGTAGGGGCAATAGATGGATAGGTGGCCAGGCTTTTGGCCTTGGCATACGCGGCAATGGTATTCTGGGCAGTTCTTGTGGCGATGCCCAAGTTTCTTGCAGACGCGACAGACGAAATTGTCTGCAGAGAAATGAGGTTGTTTTACTGTGATGACGTCGGGGGTTTCGGTGAGGTCAATGACTTCACGCTTCTTTCCCTTAGAAGCTCTAGTCTTCGACACTCCGTGCACGGTAGCTCCTCTGTGGGTCTTTCGTTTGAAAACGATGGTGGGTTCGGGGATGGGTAGTGCTTCTTCAGCTGGTGTTGGCTGAGTAGCAGGCTGAGCTTCTTCTCCAACCGTATCTGCAGCAGGTATACTGCTGGGGGGAGCGCTAGTAGCAGGGCTTGGCGGGCGACCGACTTCGGTCTTGCTTCGTTCTTCAACAGCCCGTATAACTGATTTGCAGACAGTGCTAAAAGCAGAAGGAAGCAGCTGAATCTCAAGACTGCGTATCTGTCTCTGGAGGTGTTGGCAAGCGAGTCTGAGGGCATCGTTTTCGATTTCTTTGAACCTAAGTTCAAGAGCGGAGGTGGCGCGTATGACGTGGATCTGGGAAATTATGGGGGCGGCAATATGTGCGGGTTCTTTGGCGAGCTGTTTTTCTAGTTCAATTGCGTGGGGGAGGGATAAAAGGGTTGTTTCGATGATGGCGTCGTCGTCTAGGTCAAGGATGTTTTTCTTATACGTGGAGTTTCCAAGAGATTTGTCGGACGAAGATGATGATCCAGTGGGGGAAGGTGTCAATGGGGGAGTCATGTTACTTGGGGTGTTCGTTTCAAGGGGATGGTTCGTTCAGTTCAACTTGTGCCTCCTCTTATACGTTGTTAAAAGCTCCTTTGAACTCCGCAAGTTCTCCTCGGGTATCCATTCGTTGCTTCCGGAAGAGTAGCCGATCCAAGATACGAGATAGCGTCTTCGTTTACCCGTGCCTTTATGGCTAAGAATAGCTTCTACTTCGTATTCTTCTTCGCCGTTGATAACGTCAGGTGGAGGTTCGGCGTAGTTCGGTCCGTGTATCTCTGTTTCGCGATAGGAGGATAGTTCAGAAGCATGGAACGTGGGGTGAACCTTCCATTGATCTGGGAGTTTCAGGGTGAACGTGATGGGAGATAAGACTGTGGTGATAACGAATGGGCCGTATCGCTTAGGCGCAAGTTTCCTAGATGGTAAGGATGTTAGGAGATTGGTGGCCGTAAGCCATACCTTATCTCCTATCTTCCATGGTCGATATTTCCCATGGCGAGATCTTTCTGCCATTCGCTGCATAGCAATGTTATGGCAGGCGAGTGCTTCTTCGCGTATCTTCTGTAAGTTCCTGAGTCTTTCTTCTGCTGCTGGTGTGTCAGATACGGGTAGGATGTGGGGGATTCCTCGTGGTTCATAGCCCATCATAAGGAAGAATGGAGATGTGTTCCTGGCGTCGTGCTTTCGATGATTGTGGACGAATTCAGCGATGGGGAGATGATCAGCCCATTCTAGCAGGTTACTTCTGCAATAGATTCGAAGATAGGTTTCAAGTTCTTGGTTGAGACGTTCTGTCTGTCCGTCTGTCTGGGGGTGGTAGGCAGTTGATGCGGCGATCTGATATCCGAGAAGTCGGGCGAGTTCTCGAGAGAACTTTGAAATGAATTGTGGTCCCCTATCGGAGATCACTTTCTCGTGGAGACCGAATCTCTTGAATACATTTTTGAGGAATAGTTTAGCCACTCCTTCTGAGGTGATGTTCTTGTTGCATGGTGAAATAATTACCCCCTTCGTAAGCCCATGGTCTACCACGATCATGATAGAGTCAAAACCGTTCGACACAGGCAGGTCGGTGATAAGGTCAACGGAGACCTGGGAGAAGGGACGAGTAGCGGAGGAGGGAATCGGCCGTAAGGGCGGGGTAGTAGGGTGCGTGTCGGCCTTCATTTGCTGACATAAAGCGCAACCATCGACGTATTTGCGAATATAGGTTCCCATAGCGGGCCACCAAAAGTCGCGTTTCACCAGTTCTTCAGTCTTGAACCGGCCGGGGTGTCCGGCCGTAGGATGATCATGGTGTTTGAACAACACATCGTGCCGTTGGGCCGCTGGCACATAGGCTCTATTTTTATAAAATAGGACGCCATTGGTGCAGGTCCAGTCAGAGAGGGCGGATTTCATGGGGGGAAGGCACACTCCGTCTAGTGCTTCCAGAGCTTTCTGGTATACAGGGTCTTCGGCGGAGTTACTTGCAATACTTTCTGATAGGTTATTGTCGATTAGTCGCACGAACATGGTATCGAGGAGGAGAATGCGATTCTCGTTGTCATCTTTTCCAAGTGAATGGTCAGGGCGTCGGGAAAGTGCATCAGGAGCAGCTAACTTGGTTCCTGCGACGTGGTGTAATTCCAACTGAAAATTGGACAGGATGAGCTGCCATCGTGCTTGTCGTCTTGTTAGCTTCTGAGCGGAGCGGAAGTAGAGGAGATTCATGTGATCTGTGAATACTATCACAGTATGGGGGCTTCCTTCCAGGTAGTGGCGCCATTCAGAGAGTGCTCTGACTACTGCCAATAATTCCCTATCAAAGATCTCGTAGTTGCGTTCCGCAGAATTGAACGATTGAGAGAGATAACCGCATGGGTGGTACATCCCATTTTCATCAGTCTGTAGCAACACCGCTCCGGTTGCCGCAAGCGATGCGTCGGTGGCAATTGCGAATTGTCGGGCTGGGTCAGGGTTCCGTAGTACAGGCTGTGATAAGAAGGCGTTTTTGAGACGGTCGAAGGCAGTTTGGCAGTCGTCTGTCCATAGGAAGGGATGATCTTTCTTGGTAAGGTCGATAAGGGGTCGGGCGATGTCAGAGTAGTGAGCGATGAACGCTCGGTAGAAATTGCAGAACCCCAAGAACGATCGTGTGTCTTTCAGGTTCTCCGGGGTCGGCCAATGCTTAATTCCATCTACTTTGGCGGGTTCCATTCCTACTTCTCCGGGTCGGATTATCATTCCGAGATACTCCACTTCTTGGGCTCGAAAGTGCATTTTTCCGGTTTGACAAACAACTTTTCTTTCCGGAGGATATTGAGGATCTCAATCGTCCGTAATCGATGTTGTTGCAGATCTTTTGAGAAGATTAAAAGATCGTCCATATAGATAACCAACCACCCTTCGTTTATCTGTTGTTGACAGAGGTTCGCCATAAACGCCTGGAATGTTGCAGGGGAGTTTGTTAGTCCAAAGAACATAACCGTTGGCTCAAATAGCCCTTCTTGCGTGGTAAACGCTGCTTTCCAGCGATCTTCGGGATGAATTCTAATGTTATTGTACCCAGATCTTATATCGATCTTTGTGAAGTACTTGGCGTCATAGAGTCGTTCGATGAGGGATTTTGGCAAGGGAAGAGGGTATTGGTTTCGTATGGTCCAGTCGTTAAGATACCGGTAATCTTGACAGGGACGTAATTCTCCGCTTTTCTTTCCTACGAAAAAGAATCCGCTAGCTTGAGGGGATTTGGACGGGACAATGAAGCCTTTCCTGGTGTTTTCTTCGATAAACGTTTTGACCGCTTCTCGTTCTTTTCCTGATAGTGGATAAATCTTTGATGTTTTAGGTACGAATCCTGGTTTGAGGTCGATACGATGATCTACCCCAGGTCTCTCAGGCGGAAGTTTGTTAAGGCCATCTTTGGCGAAAACATCTTGGTACTGGTGTAGGAACAGGGGAACGAGTTCTTCGAAGGTTTTCTTCTGTTTTTCTATTTCTCCTGCGACTGCGAATTCCTGGGCTTTATTGCTTGTCTTTCCGAAGTTTTGTTCTCCCTTTGATGTTCCATCTCGAACTAGCGGGGTATCGAAAGATAGATCTTCGATAATGCGCACTGTCGCTCCGTCAGTGGCGTATTCAACGAGTACCTCATCGTTGGCTAGTTGATAGGCTAGAGGATCGCGGACCGGGGGTCTGAAATTTTCTGACCAGACGTCGTCCTTGGTATTGTAGTTAGGAGTTTCTTCATCCATTGTTTCTTCTTCTACGGAAGCGGTATAGGGGGAGGGGGTTTCATTAGTCGCCACCTTCACCTGTACTGGCTTCCGTAGTTTAGAATTTACCCAGACTCTAGAGACTTCCTTTTCGATGATCCTCTTCGCTTTGAAGAGCGGTGGGAGGGATCTTCTTTGTCGCTTT